AGGGTGTCACACCTAGTCGACAGGAAACCAGCATTAATTCCGTACTCTTGAGCAATTAAACATACACATTGGTTTTAATATATTTTACTGTTTTTTTAATGTATATTTTAGGGAAACGATTTAAAAATGATGTTCCAGTAATCAGAGTATGCCGAAATGGCAGACGATTTTCGTGTTCTTCAAATTCAACATCAGTGTCTAGCAAGGTTTCTAGCAACGTTTGCAAAGTTTGTGGAAAACCCTAGATGTACTCATTCACTCTACACTCGCGAGGCACTTTAATGTCGTCAGACAACGACGTCGATTTTCTGAAAAAAAGTTTTCTTATGAAGTATTCAAGGAAATTTTTAATTTATACTAACTGATCAACTATTTGTATTTATGTATTTTTTATTTTAAAGAAAACTACAATAATAAGTAATACCAGGGATTACTTTGTTAAGATTACTCGTAGTTTACTATTAAACCACTTTAGCACGTTGTCCGGCTTTGAATTTTAACGTTACGATAGTATCGTATACTGGCTATATTCAGAAAAAGTGTAGGCTATAGTATTATAATACTTATATTTCTTACTGCACATGTTATGTACATAAAACTATTTTTGTGATGCATTAGAGCTTTTTTTTTCTCTTTTGTGGGATTCATACCCACATTTTTTTTAAATAAAATTTTGGCAACAGTGCTTTTCATCTGTACTGTAAAATTTATCTTAAATTTTACAGTACAAATATAATGATAAAAATAATGACAACAATAATTTGACAATGGTAACAATAAAACATATTTAAGGACGGATTTTTTTTATATATAAAATATTAAGAATAAACTATATGTAGGCCTATTTAAAACCTAAAATGTTCACATAACGTGGATAAATTATTAAAAGCTAGTTCAATAAAATTCATTCTTGCTTAAATATCTATCACTTTAAGTTGAATATTTCAAATATTATTAATATATTACTAAATACAAGTATTGCATCACCAGTAAGATAGTGTAAGTGTTGGTATAAATCTAAAATTAAATTAGATAAGATTTTTCTCTCTTTTGCGACACATTAAAGCTTAAACATTAAGTAAAGCTGTTTTATATATATTTTTTTCAAAATTGTTAAGAAAAACAATTAGAAAACAGACTATTTATCAGCTATTTATTTATAGAATAATTTTCTTCAAGGTAACTTTTTAGATATCTGAATTTTAAAATGGCTGTACCTAACTGAGGAACATAATTCAAAGATATCAAAACACAACTCATGGTGGAATCTATCTGAATCAATGACTACTTTTTAATGTTTGGTGGCAAAAGTAAGTCAAAGGAATATTTTGGCAACAGTGCTTTTCATTTTATCTTAAATTTTACAGTACAAATATAATGATAAAAATAATGAAACAATAATTTGACAATGGTAACAATAAAAAATATTTAAGGACGGATTTTTTTTATATATAAAATATTAAGAATAAACTATATGTAGGCCTATTTAAAACCTAAAATGTTCACATAACTTGGATAAATTATTAAAAGCTAGTTCAATAAAATTCATTCTTGCTTAATTATCTATCACTTTAAGTTGAATATTTCAAATAGTATTAATATATTACTAAATACAAGTATTGCATCACCAGTAAGATAGTTTAAGTGTTGGTATAAATCTAAAATTAAATTAGATAAGATTTTTCTCTCTTTTGCGACGCATTAAAGCTTAAACATTAGGTAAAGCTGTTTTATATATATTTTTTTCAAAATTGTTAAGAAAAACAATTAGAAAACAGACTATTTATCAGCTATTTATTTATAGAATAATTTTCTTCAAGGTAACTTTTTAGATATCTGAATTTTAAAATGGCCGTACCTAACTGAGGAACATAATTCAAAGATATCAAAACACAACTCATGGTGGAATCTATCTGAATCAATGACTACTTTTTAATGTTTGGTGGCAAAAGTAAGTCAAAGGAATATTTTGGCAAATTTACTATACAAACGGCTTACATTGTCTACGACAAAACGTATTGCAGTGTGACACGCTAAGTTATATATTCGTAGAAGTTGAAAATGCTAAGGTATGTTTAAAGCACCCTGTCTAGTATGAGCTAACTTTAATCGAATAGCTTACTAATAACAAAATCTTTGACAAGTCATTGGTGTAACTTATTATCATTCAATGCATACGGTACAGGTACTCCACCATTACATACTTGAGCGATGCGATGTTTTAAAAGTGATTTCAAAGAATTATTTTAGTTTTATCTTCATTTCAATTTATATATATATATATATATATATATATATATATATATTGTGTTATTGTTTATAAATATTTGACATTACGTATCTATCGGAAAGTAGCCAAAAGGCTAAAAAGCAATATTGCTGAATAAAATTAAATTGAATTAAAAGGAGACTTTATTTATTCCACTACAGGGAAATTTCATGGCTGAATAATTATAACAGTGCAAGTATACATTATGAATTGAATACTGTAGTAAAACTATCAAACCTCCCTTATGTGTAGCATACTAAATAGCAAATAATATTCAAGGGCTGTTACATAGCACCATAAGCACGGTATAAAATGAATAGTTGAAATGAATAATAATAATACCAATAATAATAATAATAATAATAATAATAATAATAATAATAATAATAATAATAATAATAATAATGATAATATTAATAATGATAAGGATAATAATAATAATAATAATAATAATATAATAAAAATAATAATAATA